ATGTCCACGGCGGCCATAACATATTTGACTCGGCAATATTCTTAACGACTGTTGAATCTGCAACTCAAACACTCTGGAAGGAAACTTGGCTAACCCTGGGTCCTGTGCCAGCCTGCGCAAGAGCTTCACTTTGCTTCTTTGCTTTGTATTCATTCTGTGGTGTACAGATGTGTGAATTCCTGCCGGCTCAATATCCCAATGCACGAAGCCATTTGCCCCTCTAAATTGCAAGTCTCAAACTGTTTAAAGGAGGGTGGGGCCTCAGAAATCATGGCGTGCGCCTTCTCCTTCCAACAGCTCGGCGGGCGCTGCAAGATTGTGTCGGAGGACGATTTTGCAAGCTGCATGAAGGGAGACACCCAGCCCCCATGGCAGGTTGTTTCTGTGATTTCTTTGTGCAGATGGCGGGTGGATCGAACTGCTGGCTTTGTGGTCTCATGTAAAGGACCTTTTGATCAACTCCCACATGTTAAGACACGCAAAACAACCCCCCTGATACAATGAGTCGTGTCACCAAATGTGAAGACACTATGACTTGGTCATAGGCGACATCACACAATGGGCACAAAGCTGCCTCTCATTGAATCCTATGTGGGATGTCCTTAACGCAGTGAACAAAAAAATCGACGGCGTAATTCAGCTTGACCAACAGCAGACCAAGTTGAAGCGTTGAGTGTCCAATGTCCAAAATTGACAAACGATCTTTCAGGAACCGGCCATAGTATGATCTTCACCTGGGAAAAGTTACCCAGGGTCAAAACTGGGTCTGCGTTTTGAAGGGAAGATTTTGATCTCAAGCCCCCGGGTTTTTTGGGAGCTGAGGACATGGTCCTCACGGAGATGATCCGCCGGCGCCGGCTTGAGTCCGCGAAGATCGCTGAAGAAGCGAAGTGGAAGCGCCAGAGCCAGGTGGAGAAGCCGCTTTGGCGCCAATGTCTCGTAAGTCGCTGGTCATGTTTCTTTTGGCTTCGTAAGAAACGACCGGGTGGCCAGAACTAACTCCCCTAGTGGGTTTGGGGTCAATCGATACCCCCCAAAAGAACCCACCCTCCAAAAGATATGTGCCGTTGTTAAGAGAGTAAGAGACCACTTGGCTGTGACGCCCAATGGTTTGTTTTCTCAGGGGAACCTCGAGGTCTCCATTTGCCTACCGTTCAATAGTGACTCTTTCATTATATTCCCTTCGAGCAAGAAGTGAGGCTGTTGTTTTCCTTTGGAGCTGAGGTTAGAAATTGGTGGCCACCATTCCCTTTGCCCAACTAGTTTCCCCAGAAGCGCTTTCTTTGGAGGCATTGAATCGAGCGGAGGCAAGTGGCGTTGTTCTTAAAGCAGCACCACTTCGAGGATGTGAATGATCCCAAGAGCTCATGCTGCGGCTTGCGCGTCACCTACCCACTGCAGCAGGCGGCAAGATCGAAGGACTAGCACGCGGGCAAGACCTTTTGTACTGCAGAACTGTGTGTTGACTCGGTGTGGTGACACTTCGACATGCAAATTACCATCGGACTTGTAGTGTGCCAGTGACGCACGTGGTTGTGCAAACAAGCTTTAGGTTGTGCAAACAAGCTTTAGATGATTGGCGTCAATCACTATATTGTTTCAGTGTTCCGTGTTTATTGATGTCATTCATGATACTCTTTGACAAATCGTCTTCCATTCACTGCTTGAGCTTGGCGCCTCCCCAAAATACTTTTGCATTAGTATTCGCTGATGCTGAGGCCAACTACCTGTCATTGAACATCACCTTGCGGCTACACACGAACAATGTTTAGCTTTGCGGGATCTGCACTTGGTTTGGCTTTCATGTTGGCAACACATCATGACGTGCGTCTCTGCATCACACGCAATTACTGCCATAGCAAATATTGCAGCAGTGTGTTGCACCATCATTCCCGCCTTCTCTGATTCTATATGCAGCTATGCGTCATATGTTTCATCAATTGTGCCAGGCGGCCTCCACATAATATACAATCTTCAACAAAGACATGATGGCATGGCAAATGTCGCATGTACTCACTTGAATCATGAGTAAACCTGCAACCTGCGATCCACAGCGCATCCTACAAGTTCAAAAGAAAGTTGCCTGGGGAAGCGAGGACTGGCGAATGGTGCTTCTACTTCTTCGTTGCGGGGCAGACCCGGAAAAGCGAGATCTCTTTGGTCGAACAATCTCGGCCGGAACTGACATGCACGGTGGCTTGCCAAAAGCATAGCGCTGGGCGGGCTTGCGGGCTTGCGGGCTTGCGGGAAGGAGGCAAACCGCAACAGGCCATGAACACTGACACCCCCAAAAACTCTGACTTGCCAACCTGGGCCTCATGCCTTCCTCTCAGGTATTCAGCGGAAATTTGCAAGGAGCCGGGGGAGCTCGAGTGCATAGGATTCAAGTGCACGGATTTTCAGCTTGAGCTGACGCAGCTTTCTGGATGCTTCAGGTGCGTTTCCAAGTTTTGGGCGGAAGCCACCGAGCTCCAGAACCCGCAGCATGCCAAATGGGCGTGGCTGAATTTTTTGTAACCAGGAGGGGCAAACCGCAGGTTTTGGTCCATGTTTCCACTTACCAGGGTTCCATTTTGGTCCCGGTTTTTTGAGCCACAGCCAAATGACTGTGACATTTGGTGACCAATCAAAACAACATATGCGCCAGGACCTTTTCCTGGGAAGCTCCAATGGGAGGCCGATAGGAAGATCAGCTCTGTCATACAGAGTCAAGATTGCGTTGACACGAGCTTCAGATCGTTCTGATTTGGGCCTTCAAGACGCCTGCTGCCAAGTTCATCGTATTGGCTGTTTGCGTTATTTGCAAGTTGGCCGGGTACCTTCCGTGCCTCTTTATAGCATGCGAGGTTGTTTTTTCTTTTCGGAGGGTCGCCTGAAAATTTGCTCACAAGTCTGAGCACTTGCACGACATATAACAGCCTAAATGCTGGATCCTAAGGTGGGGTAAATGGTGATCTGTTGCCAACACAGAAGAGACAACGCGCAGGTGTGTGTGTGTGTTTTGCTGCACCTATTCCGATTTGTCTCACCATAAACCCATATCCGTCATATTGCTGAAGCGCCATGGAGGCGAATTGAGCAGTATCCCAATGCAGCGATGGCAAGAACCAGACAGAGATGAGCAGCAAACGATGCATAGCTCAGCTTCTCCAAGTGTGCTGTTTCTAGCGGGGTGTAGGGACCTCCTGGCTTCGGATATAGCGAATATGGGAAGTGTAAGTTGGTTCCCGCTTTTGACAAGAGAGGGGGTCTTCCCTTTTTTGGGAAGCCATAGCTCTTAGGATGCAAGTGCCTACAAAATGTGCAGAACCAGAGACCGCTCGCTGTGGTATGTGTCATTGAATGTAGATAGGGGGTTCACCCACCCCATGTCTATTGACTGGTTCACTCCTTATGACGTTTGCCGCAATAGATGACTAGCCGGTCAGTTGCAGTTTGGACTGGCTTTGCATCCGCCTCTTCGAATCGTCTCACTCATTTCCCCAAGCAGCACAGCGTAGCTTTCGTGAATAAGCGTGTTCCGCGAGCTGCCTGTAAAGTTGTTTGCAAGGCTTCTCGGCAGCACACGCGTCAGAAAGGCCATGTAAAGACTGTATGCTACCAAATTCGACTAAGAGCGCATTTCAGGCGAATCATCTGAGTGGTTGCTCTTACACCGATTCAGCCGTGTGAGTGATTGCCTGAGCTAGGCCATGTCCACTTTGGCCCCTTTTATTTTCTGCATTGCATCCTGCTCAGATGGAAGAACCTCATACAAAGGTGAGATCCTTTCTAGCTTAACGCGCCTTGTGAACTTGGCTCCAAGAACGGACGCCACGCTCAAGCTGAACAGTGGGGGGTTGAAAGGGTGCTCTTTTGCCGACTGTGAAGAGCTTTCACAGCGCCTGGCATCTTAGGCGAATCGGCTGTGGATCTTGCAGCGCAGTTGGCTTAGGGTGACTGGAAGGAAGCAAAACATGTTTGGGGGGCCCAAGGGGACACGGAACTTGGCAATCCTCCAGAGAGCGAGTGGTTGCCATCTTTTCGCAGCCACTTGCATGCTGAGAAGACCCAAAAAGTGCCAGTGCGCTCGATTGGAGCAGTCAAGCAGTAAGTGCCGTACCGCAAGCAGGGCCTTTGGCGGTTCGAATGAGAAAAGTGAATGAGCTCTGATCAGTCAATAGACAAAGTCTTGCCGAAAGTGTTTTTGGTCAAGCCATTCTTAAGCTGAGCGATTGCCTTGCTCCGGCCAGTTCCCTGGGGATTTTGGGGCCCGAGTCATCTCACTTCGTCCGGTGGGGTTCTTGTTCCATGCGGGCAGGAAACCTTCGCCTTTCCCCACTTCGAGGCCGGGAAAAATCGCCAAATGAGACCTGATTTGAGAGGCTCGAGCTTGCCGGTGGTGTTTGGCTTGTGTTTCTTTGAGGTACGATTGCGGTGTGCTTGTATGATGTTAGCACGGCAAGGGCTAGCACAGCCGTGGTGGCTGTTTTGCAGGCTGGCAATATGCATGTTATAAAACATCAAAGATATGCGGCGCGCTTGTAGGACAACATAGCGGGTTTGTGGGCACTGATACACAATGATTCCGGCAGCTGTGTTTGTCACTAGAAGCACATGCAGCACTGCAGCACAACCATACTGGAGACAAACACACATACATTGGCCTAGCACCACGGGGTGACAAGTTGCGGAAGGTTGACGCAGGAATACAACTAGGCATCGTAGACGCAAAGGAACGGCTAGACAAGATGTTATGTTTGTTGGTTTTAGCAGGGCACTCGCCCGTGATGTTGGCACGTTGCTCATGTCACGCTCTGATGAAGAAGAGCTGTTGTTTCTGCGCTCAAAGTGGAAAGCTCGTACCACGCTAATCCAATTTCCGCGTGCGTTGCTGCCAGTGGTTCCGACTGCAGCTGACATGCCTTGGATATTTGCCTATGTCTCAAACTACGAGCCCTATTTTCCTTCAAAGCGGTTTGGGGCTCCCCGGAGCCACAAAATGAACGCAAGATCACGCTTGAAGTCCACAGAGCTGACCTTCCTTGGACCATCAGGGCAGCCTCACATTCGTTCGTCATGCAAAAGCATTTGGCCCTTGCCCACAATTTTCAGGACGTGGGGCAGGACTCTCCTTGAGAGGCGTCCGTCTCGTCGGCGGCGATGTGGATGTGGTGTTTTGCGCTGAAGCATTCAGAAACTCACCGCAGGCCTGCCATTGAAGTTTGCTGGGACGACTTCATCATGCAGTGAGTTCGGGGGGCGCACGATGTACAGAGCGACCTGTCGGTCTTGCAAATCCCACTCAAGGACAAGGCCTGCACGTGCAACCTTTGTATTCCTTCGTGTTCAGCATTTAACGATGGATTGTGGGGAAGTGATGGAATACGTGGACGAAGACATGCGGATCAATTGCTTGGCTAGCCGTTGGTCAAGGGACACATCGCTGGGTTGTAGCTTCACGCAAAGCCATGTTCAAGTAAGGGCAAAGGCAGTGTCCAATGCATTGGCCAATTTTTCCCCGCAAGGATATCGAATCTGATAGAGAGGGTTGTTTCAAAAGATTCCTCCAGCTTGGGGGTCTATGTACAGCCAGCTTGCAGCATGCAAATGCTCCAAGCTGGAAAGCGTATGGGCAGAGGGGTGGGGGGACCCAGAGGGCAGCTGAGACTTGCTTGCACGACAAGTCAAATTATATCATCCATACTACAGCTACGGATGCATGTTTTGGAGGATGCCCCTTTGTGGCAGTGTGAAAGGGCATGGTTGTGGCAAATGGGATTTTGCCACGTTCTGCAATACCAAAAGAATTGCCCACGTTCGTATCACAAAGCATACTGTAAAATCCACAACTATGTGAGTGTTTTTTTGAGGCAACCAAACGGAAGACACCTCATTGTAGGGGTTGATGCAACTGCCCTGTTGGTTTTGGAGTTTCCACACTTCGAGCTTGCCTCCACGTTGGTCTCCAAAACAAAAAGAAGTAAAGGCTGGATGCTTATTCCAAAATCCCTGTGAATTGATTGACGTATGTGGAGTCTGGGAATCCTCACGCTCTCTCGGTGTCCGGCCATTGGTTAGGAGCCCTGGCCATGTACAGTGGCTGGATGCCGATGTCGTCGTCCCAAATTTCCGGGGGGCTGCCAATGATGCCCTGCAACCAATTCATTTGGAAGGTTGCAAAGAAAATTTTGTGGATGGGTTCAGTGCTCAATCTATGGGCTAGTTCACATTTGGTGGCCAACGTTCATGGAATTGAACTTTGGTTGCCACCGTGCATTCTGTGAACTAGTTTACCTGTTCCAAGTTTCATTCTATGGACTACGTAGTTCACATTGGGTTGCCAATTTTGCAGTCTATCAGCTTGCTCACATGTGGTTTCCAACTTTCATTGTATCACATATGAACCTAGTTTACACTCGGTTGCCAATTGTCATTCCATGAACTAGTTTACACGTGCTTGCCAACAGTCATGAGCTAAATCAACAAGCTTTACAACTTATTCCTTAGCCAGCATATGAGCTAGTTTACCTGCCCTTGTCAATCTCGTGTATATGAGCTAGGTGACACTAGCTTGTCAATGTTCATCACACAATCCAGCTTGCATTTAGTTGCCAACTGCATTCTATAAAACTACGTTACGTATGATTGCCTACGTTTATTCCCTGAATCAGTTTACAAATTCCAGTTTGAATTCATGAACTAGTTTACATTTGGTCTCCAGGTTTCATTTTATGAACTAGTGTGCATGTGAGGCATCTGGAATTCTTTGCTTCGTCGTATTTCTCCTGGCCGATCCACTTCTACCTCTACTTGCTTCTCCCTGCATATGGCCATTACTGCGGACAATGATATACAACTGACGCTTTCTTGTTTCACTCTACTTGCACCTGCCACACTGCTTTTGACCCAAGCCAGACGCTGGCCACCGCTGTGGACAACGGTACGTTGCCGACGCTTTCCTGCTTCACTACGAATCTTTGCAAGCATTGGATGGAGCTCCTTCTTGTCGGGGCCGCTTCGACTTGTACTTGATCCGCGCCGCCTTTGACACAAGCCAGGCTCTCTTCACTGGACTGCTCCGCATGGCAATGGCTGCGGACACGCCCCTGCTTTGCAAACCACCTCTACCTGTGCTTGCTCGCAATACTGCACACAACAACACGTTACCGACGCTTTCCTGCTTAACTCTGGCGTTTGCCGGCCGTCGTGGCCATTTTGGCATCACTGCTCGACAAGCACGGGGCGTCCGCGGAGCCACCAGACAGGCTTGCCGGGAGACCACGGCCATTGCGCAAGTGGTCAAGAATCCCGCAGAGCGTCAGGAGAATAGGTGATTCTACTGCAGCCGGGAACTTCACCCTAGACTAGCTGCTTTTCTCCCTGTAAAGGGCGCCAGTTCGCACATGAAAGGAGAGCATGTGCTGCTGTCTTCTTTTTACCGGGGGGGCTATTCGCTGGCTGCAACAAGCGTTCGCGCGCCGTGTCCTTTTCTACGAACTAGTTTACATTGCCAGCGCGAGTCCTCACTTGTGCGCCATGAACATGCCAGGAACTACTATACACGTGTTGTCAACCGTTGTTCTACAGACTGGTTCACCTAGCCCGGCCTCTAACTTTATTTGTTTAAGCTGGCCCGCGTTCGGTTGCAACATCGTTGCCTGAGTTGCCTGTAACCTAGTACTCATGTGGTTGCCAATGTTGACAATATGAACTAGTTTGCATATCATTGCTAAGATTCATTCCATTGCCGAGTTTTCATTCCATTGCCAAGTGTCCATGTTTGAACTTGTTTTGCCCTGGATGATCGTGTTCTTTCCGTGGACTGGCTTTCGCTTGGTTGCCAAGCTTCTTTGTGCTTAAATCCTCTTTGATTATTCTCAGTGTGTGGAGTGTGGACGGCTGTACTTTTAGATGTCAATACTCGCGCTATGAACTTTACTTTACATTGAAGGTTTTCATTTCACGAGCTAGTTTACATGCACTGCCCGTTTTCATTTTTATAGCTGGTTTACATTCATGTGCAAGCTTTCTCCTTGGATCCAGTGTGCACAGTTGGTTGCCAAATCAAGTTCTATAAATTGGGCAACGTTTGTTTGTCAGGCACTGACCTAAACAAACTGTATTTGACAACCGTGTTTCCTTCTAAAAACTACTTTCCCACGTGCTTGCCAACTGTTATTCTACGGTTGTCGTCATCATTGCATGGGCTAGTATCAATGTGTTTGGCCTTTGTGATTGTTTGAACTAGTTTGCAGGTTTGGTTGCCAAGTTCCATTCCAAGAAGTAGTTTACATTTTGTTTTTTTCAACTTATCCATGATTCACATTTGATTGCCGAGTTTCGTTCTGTGGGCTACTTTACATGTTGAGGGCCCTGATTGGTTCACATGTCGCTTCCAACTTTCCTTCTATAACTAGGTTACCTTTGGTTGGCATCGCTCACATGCACCTTCATCGTCCACCCAAAGGTTGTCAATTCGATGGCCATTTGTTCAAATCAATTTAGGTGGAAATTTCTTAGCACGTTTCAATGAGTTTTTGTTTCGTGTGATGGAATCGTGGGAGCCCCCCATGCTGACATACAGAATGACCTTCCGCGGCAAGAACTGACAATCCCATGCCGCGGTTTTACGAGGCTTCTGGCCCCAAACGCGGTGCCTTTTCGCACATGTGCGAAGGCTTGGCCGCGGATGGGCTGGCAGCGTCAGAAAAGAGAAAAAGGGCCCAGCAGCAAGCCAGTTGTTCATTGGCACTTTGAATTGCCCTTTGGTGAGTCTCCACTACCAGGCTCGGCCGCAGCTATTCTCTTCCATTTGCTTAAGAATATGTGTTTTTATTTTCCCTTGTTGGTTTTAAAAGGAATTTATCACTACTGGATGTTTTTTTGTTTTTTGTTTTTTTCCAGGGGTCTTAACCAAATGGAAGTTCTTGGTTGGGATTGTCCCTCACGACCCTGCATCTACCGGGTTTTTGAGTGCGGCTCAGTGCATGTCCAGGCTCTCGTGCATTCTGGTTTTGGACAAGCATGTGTGCATGTTGTGGCTCAAAAAACCGGTACCAAACTGGAACCCTGGTGAGTGGAAACACGGACCAAAACCTGCGTAACGCCTCCTGTTTATGTTTGAGCCACACCCACGTTGTTGTTCGACCGCACGCGAATTGCACAGAACAACTTATGCACAAATAGCTTGTGACCTTTGCAAGATCGCTGCCGGTGCCTCGTTGCCTGAATCAAAGGGTCTAATGTCGCCATTTGCTCCCATGTTGCCTTCTGTTTTGTTTTGGGGGAGATGGCCATGGTTCAAAACCAATGGTACCATTTGGGGCTATTTTAGTGGGGATTGGGATGCTCACTGGGAGTACGGGATTTTGACCCATGGCCATTTGTTTTCGGGGGAGAGAACTTTCGTACCAGATGTTGGAGTGGGGTGTGCTCCCTGGTCAGTCAGGTGGCAGCGAGCCTGGGCCTCTTGGATTTGAATGGTAGCGCGGGCGTGCAAGAGTTGCGGGCGGTACCTTGATAGGTTTGTTCAAAGAGATGTCTCCGAGTGGCTACGTATTTATGGCGTCTTGATTGGCTGCTGTATTTGAATCGGTTCTTGTTTTTGTTGGTCTTTGTTTGTTGCAGGCTTGTTTGAGGCCACCACACATTTGCCAGAGGGGGTCCCAAGTTGGTGCACACCTGCCAGCAAAGCAGTGCTGCGAATTTTGGATCGCAAGTCAGGAATTTAGTGAACTCGTAATCTTGCTGAAACCTAGCTTTTGTATTGTATCGCTGGGCCATTGTGTAGGCACTATGTGCTCAACTTCGCATGTGGTGGTGTTTGCGATTTGACGGGTGCATGACGCAGCATTGATTGCCGGGCCTTGGTTGGTGTTGGCATTTTCACGCTGATATGTCTCAGAATTCTTGAATATCGCTGGATTTGTTGGTCCAATCTGGCATTTACAGTATTAGCAATTTGTAGAATCCACACAGTCTGCGTAAATCAGAGTTGATCCGCCATTTTGCTGGGAGCTGCTGGAAGGATGAGTTGTGTTTATCCATCCTGATGGTGAGAGTTGCTGGAGAGGTTCGGTGCATGTTTCTTTGATTTGTTTATGCAGCAGCATTGTTAAAGGTTGTTGCTCGCCAGAGCATTCTTTGTAATCTAGTTTGAGCTGTTGCGTTCAGATCTGATGCCTGAGCTGATTGTGTTACTTGTCGCAATTAGATTCACTGCTTAGAACCTGTTGGAATCTACTTGTAACCGCTAAGCTAAGAGGTATTGCTTAGTATGACCGACCAGCAGTTACAGAGGGTGCAGAGTCGGTTTTTGTTTTGCTTGCTAACAGCACAACAGGCTATGGTGTTGCCTGTTTGCGTTTGCAATGTTTGTTTTGGTTGGTTCCAAACCTTACACCAAGGATCAAAGGGTGTTGGGCAACTTTGTGTGCTCTTCCACAGGGCTATTTTGTGAGCTTCTGACAGGATCTTTGGACCACCCCTGTTTAATTGATGTCGCGACAAGTAAATGTGAGCATCCTGCCGATGGTCCAGCCTTGAGTATTTCATTGGGCTAGAGGGCTGAATACTGCTGTCTAGATCGGTCTGCCCGGATTTCACATGAAGTTAAGATTGGGCAGGTCGAGAACGCCAAAAAAAAACAAAATTGCCAGAGAAGCCCAGCTTTCTGGGCCCCAGGCTTTTTCATATTCGCTTGGGTCCAAAGTCGAAAGCTGGAAACCTTGTGCTTGCAACGAGTGAGACCAAGCCCAAAGACCAGAGGGCTCTCACCTCCGGGGGGCTGGATGGCTTGGGCGACGATTCCTCGCCCTTCGTAGAAAAGGTGAGGTCTGGAAAGACGAGAGGACGAGCGCGCGACCTGACTGGACATGGGCAGATCGGACGCCCAAGGACAAAAACAAGCTCACTCCAGCCTTTCTAGGACTCCGCTTTCCGAAAAAGTCTTTGGGCCTGGGGTCCTTCAAGCCTGGCATCCGATCGATGCCCCAGGCGCGGACGAGCTGGAGGCGCCGAGGGGTGAGACACCGGAGAGGGCAGAGAGCGTCACGTGCTTTCCTGAACAGGGGGGTCCTTTTTTGCCACCTTTTGTGAGAAAATTGGCGACCTCCCCCTAGGGAATCCTTCACTACCGGGGGGTCGATCATTTTTCCACCAAGGGTGGCAAAAAGACCCCCCTGTTCCTGAAGGTTTCTCAAGATTTGGGAGCCAGCCCCGTGTTGTCCGAATAGTTTCTTTGGGGACTAGATGGGTTTGCGTTCATCAGGCGCATGCGTGTGCATGCGCACAAATCTGGCCGCCTGAGTGCACCATGCCACTACTGCTGCCCCCTGAAGACACCTTGTTTCTTGAAGGTACACGTGTACCTAGAGAGGCAGGTGGCGAGAAACATATGTATATCTATGACTCTATACATATATATATATATATATGCATATATGTATAATATAGACAGAGAGCCGTGCATTTATGCAAGTTTGCGTACCTGCTTGCATGATGATGATAATATATATATATATATATATATGGTCACCCCCCCCCCCCAGGGCCCACCTTTAACATAAACAACTGACATATCGTGTTTGCAAATCTTTCTTACAAATGTTGGGCCTCAAGAAAACACTGTAAAAACCTACGTATATATCTACATATACACATGTATATCAGGAGTTTTTGCTTTGCTTCGTCTTCTGTACTGTTGAGCGCCTTTTCAGCGAAAGAAAGGCTAGGGCGAAGCAAGCTTATGGGCGCCCCGAGGGCTCGGGGTGAGCCTTGCGGGAGCCGCTTCACGCGACACTTTGTGTGAAACGCGGGTTCCAGCAAAAAACCGCTTACACATGCGTAAATATATATATATGTAATGTATGTAGGTAGGTAGGTAGGTAGGTATGAATGTATGTATGTATGTATGTAATGTATGTATGTATGTATGTATGTAATGTAATGTATGTATGTATGTATGTATGTAATGTATGTATGTATGTATGTATGTATGTATGTATGTATGTATGTATGTATGTATGTATGTATGTATGTATGTATGTATGTATGTATGTATGTATGTATGTATGTATGTATGTATGTATGTATGTATGTATGTATGTATGTATGTATGTATGTATGTAATGTATGTATGTATGTATGTATGTATGTATGTATGTATGTATGTATGTATGTATGTATGTATGTATGTATGTATGTATGTATGTATGTATGTATGTATGTATGTATGTATGTATGTATGTATGTATGTATGTATGTATGTATGTATGTATGTATGTATGTATGTATGTATGTATGTATGTATGTATGTATGTATGTATGTATGTATGTGTATGTATGTATGTATGTATGTATGTATGTATGTATGTATGTATGTATGTATGTATGTATGTATGTATGTATGTATGTATGTATGTATGTATGTATGTATGTATGTATGTATGTATGTATGTATGTATGTATGTATGTATGTATGTATGTATGTATGTATGTATGTATGTATGTATGTATGT